GCATGGCCAACACACCTGTAAGAGGCTTAGGACAAATTGGCTCCTTCCCGTATTCAGAAATGGAGAAGAAAAACTTCCAACAGTAAGAAAAATCAGGGAGGGCCGATCGAATTATTACAATTCTGGGCCGCAATCTGTGCCATATTGAATTAATTTGCATGTCTATTAAAGCTGAAATCCTGTTCGAAATGGTCACCACGCGGATTCGAAATGGTTCGACTTTTATCGATACACATATGGAACGAACCGAATACACTCTGCGGATGAATATGTTAGAATACGTGTCATCACCAAGCCTAACAGCCATTCATTCATCCCGCGGCAGTTACGGAATAAGGCCACTGACAATGTGCTATATGCAGTGATTCTTGCTTTTGAAGTGGGACAAAGAGCTCGCACAGAAACCAAGTGAGAACTGCATATCTGTAACACAGCTGTAGGCTTATGTTACGACAATGCTTTGCAAATCATTCCTCAGTGAATTGTTGCAGGCAAAGCAGCAGAATATCACATTTGCTACAAATGACAGGTTTCTAATTATTTAAAATTTGAAATTGTCGGAGTTGAGTTCGAGTCCAGTCGCACTTGCAAACGAGTCCAGACTACTCCTTTCGATACTCGGACTCAACCAAATTGTCTCATTTCACGGATGAGTTGCACTTAGCTTCGTACTTTCCAAAAAAACTGGAGCTCTTACCCGGCTCAATCTCAATGCACCGGGACTTTAGAGAGTACTCACGATTCTGGCGGCCTGCACTTGGACAAGTTTTGATTGCATTGAAGAATCCACCATGGACAAAAGGTTCATTTAAAAGCGCATTACATGTAAATAACGCAGTTTCACTTTGTTATGAAAAGGTAAATATCGCCGTGCATACCTATTAAGTCGTGTGGATTGGGCAAGTCGCGCTTTTATCGGCTTGGGTTGGCTTGATTTATTGAAACAATTAGTTTGGGTTCGCTGATGTACGATTGCGCATTGGTCACCGCAACGTCGCAAAGACTGCCCGCACGTGGCCACACTTCCATAGCCATTCCAGTGCTCATTAAAACCGAGGTCACGTACGGCTAGAGGTTAAATGAAGATTAGGCCTAATTGGAATGAGTGTAAGCCTACAATATGTGACGATCATATCCCTTAAGATACAGCACATCAGACATAAACCAACCTTTGTCATGTCTGTTGCCATATTGAAGTAATGGGGCTGGGACTAAAAAACGATGTTACCCGGATTTGACTGCGAGTTGTTTTCGGGCTTTGACTTAACCTTTGATAGAGAATTAACTCGAACGTGGCCTCTTACAGCGTGCCAATTGGTATAAACGTACGCAAATGGATAAGTGGTGTCCCGTTCATATCGTAAAGCTGGTTGTCTCAGGTAATTTCTGCTTTCAAATGACTTTTCTAAGTGATTCATATCTCGGCTGACATGGCTATTTCTGCGAAATTATAGTTTCGAGCCCCCTTGACGAGCAACGCAAAAATGGCGTACCTTGTGGAGGGCATCAACAAATGGTGTGTATTCATATTTGTCCTATAAGCTTCTTGACATAAACATCACACATTCAACATCTGAGTAGCACTTGGCCACTGATGACATGGTGTGGCACAATTATCAACAACGTCGTCCATCAGTCTTCAAAGCGTCTCTCAGAAGTTCCCTGAAGACGGTGCTCTAGATGCCCGCTTGCGGCATGATCATGGGCAGGCAGACCTCCTCCAGGCGGGTGATGGTGTTGTCCACCATCTTGGCTGTAGCACGGCCCATTCCCGGACGATCGGGGCCTCCAGCTTCTTTGTCGTGTGAGGTTTGCTGGCACGCGCCCGATCAATGAGGTAGGCACACTTGAAGTATAGTGGATTGAGGCCTTTTGAGGGACACCGTAGTTCACCTGCTCGGCCCAAAGTCGCAAGGGTGCGGATTATACCTCATGTTGTCAACACCTGTCCTGCGGTTCCACTGTCGTGGAAAGCCACGACGCTAAATAGCCTGAAATCTTGAAACAGCGTTCCATTAACATCGTCGAACATGCCAGCATGGCCCAACCAGCCCACGCTAGAGGCCATGTAGGTGTACTCTGTGCCTATGTTTAGTTTGGCCACGTTACATTTTCAGATTTCATCTGTGTGTCAGTGGTACATGATTTTACATATCCGGTTGCCTGACGTTGGTATGGGGCTCAATCTAGATCCCATATGCATTCCATGAGATGTTGCTTACATAAGTACTTTCAAAGAAGTAGTGCCGACCTCAATTTGTGCCGACGAAATGCCAGCGAATTGAAAAGAAAAACACGATATTTAGTTACCCCTGGTTTCGGCCGAAAGCAGATACGGTCGAGTGACATCACCTTCCAGACAGATAAAACAAGGGCGCATGCGCAATTCGCAACGGGGCGCACAGATTTCCACGTAATGTAGCGCACCGCAGACGCACGAAATTTGTTGTGTGACAAAAAACAACAGCCTTTTTTACTGTTTCACTCCTGCAGCAAGAAT